CGTTTATCCACTTTTGACCCAATGGCAACTTTTTCATGTTGGTTATTTACTCATGTTCTGTGCACGCAATTTAAGAATAAGTTCATTGGGTCAAAAGTAAACTCCCCTTTAGAGTGGTTTTGCATTCAGTTCATGTGGCAAAAAAGGCAGCACTTTCCTTGCGATAGTAACTCCTAGTTATAAAAATGTCTTAATATAGCATTTGCGGATAACGGTAATTGCATTCAATTTATGGCATCATTTATGTGGTTTTCTTCGTGTCACACCCAGAATAGATTTGTTTGGTCAACAGGAAACACCATATATAGCTTTACCAATTTCAGAATTGTATACATTTCCCGCATACAAGGAAAATGTGATTTGCCGGGTAAGCAGAAAATTAATTCTACTTGACCACGGCTGGGAATCGAACCCGCGACCTTCGCATTTCTAGAACGACGCTCTACCTTCTGAGCTCCAAGTCCAAGTTGGGAACGATATGTTATTTATTTGTGATGTTAATGACGTGAACGAATTTCTTCCTTTCCATGCCTGGAGCCAGCTATAATAGCCTACACATTACATCACGAGTAGAATCTCCAGAAAAAAAATCACATACAACATTCGCTGGATTAATAGATGGCACCAGGCATGAAAAGGAAGAAATTCGTTAATGTCATTAACATCACAAATAAAAACATTTCGTTCCCAACTTGGCATTGTACCTCAGAAGTCGTTCTAGAAATGCGAAGGTCGCGGGTTCGATTCCCAGCCGTGGTCAAGTAGAATTAATTTTCTGCTTGCCCTATGATTAAGAGGTTTTCCACTATAGGCGGAATTTTGCGCGTGGAGCGGAATTGTTTTTTGTCTTGTGATTTCGCGGGTGGGACTAATTTCGCTCCCCGCGTAGAATTTCAAAAGGCCTCAATTCCAAAAGCATAAAATATGGCCATAATGTAAAATGGCTCCATTTTTTCCTGTATAGATTACTCCATGAGGTATAGTCTAGCATGGAGACTATAGTATGTATAGCTATATTGTGATTTCCTGACTGACTAAAGGTATTTTGTTTACTTGAAATACCGGTCTGTTGAAGAAAAATTGAGTTTCCGCGTTTCAAGTATAATAACCAATATATACGACAGTTGAATATCTTGTGCATATCATGAATAAAGCTGTACAATTATTTCCATTTTAATGAATATTTTTAATTCACTTTTTAATCAATTTAAGTAATTGACATAATTTATTATTTCAGTGAAGGAAATAACTTTCAAAAGAGACATAACACTATGGTCCTGCCTTAAAATTTTGAATAAGCATGATATAAGCATGTAACGCGGAAATTTTAACAATAAAATTTAAGCAAGGAACAAAATAGGATTAATATATTTTATACTGGGATAATGAACTATTGGATTTAAGTGTGTTTGTTTCAAAGCAAGGAGCCTTTGACTATATATAAATTTGTCTTTTATCTTGTACTTTAGTTTAGTTTACACTTTATTATTGTTTCGGCTTTCTGATGAAGTTGACAACATGCGCGCAATTATATATTTTATATACTAGCACAAGATTTAAAGAGAACTCTGATATAGAAAAGCGATTGACAGCTTTAATGGCTTGCTCTCAACTATATTTGTGCCAATGCACGAGTGTTTTTATGCCAATAAAAAGTCTTTATATATAGTGTATCAAAACATTGTGACCTGCTGGATCACGTCTTTCTGACTAAAAGTCCTTCAAAGGATGACGTTTTTGAGCATGTGTACCTTCATCAGGAAATTGTTGTATATATAGAGTGTAAATGATACTATCAATTGATCTTATACTCTTTGACGAAAATTCTGGGGGAGGGGGGAAATTAGGTTACCAACATATGACCACCATTGGAAATCTTAGTTCTGTAAACTGTTTTGCTTTGAATGTGATGCACTACATTACTGCTTGATTCTTTAGCCTATATACCAGTGTTACTGTTGTAATCTGCCAGTGCTCTTACATTGAAAACTTTTACAGCGTGGTAAATAAATTATTCTTCTAAACTGAAAGATATAAAAGTAGCCTACTTTTGACGTTTCGAGCGAAGGCTCTATCTCAATATGACATTCAGCTCGTTATGTCGTAATACTTAAATATATATACTGTAGTTAATCACTATACTTACATGGACACAACCATGAATTTGATATTCCTGTCCCAAAACTTGGCTGTAACTATACCTATACCAACTTTCACTATGTATATTAAGTCTATTTATATGGCACTTACTAGATCTATCTTTGATTATTTCATAATCTTTAACACATTTTCCCGACAACGAGTCACTATCGAAGATATAAGTTAAACCATCTTCACATTTACAAACGTTATTACCGTCACATATTAAACGACGAGTTGATTCTTGTTGAATATTTGTATATATCGAATCCTGATATCCTCTCGTAACACTCAATGAAAAACCATTGATCCTTAGCACACATAATGGTAACCCCAGTAAGATCCAACGCACGATCGACATATCAGAAACGAGTAATAGAATCTTCTGTGTCATAAATATACCAAGACTCGTTGCTTGCCTGTTCAGAACCTAGCACTTTTCATTGTCTTTTTGTTTTCACTTTAATACCCTCATTGAACCACATAATTGCGATTGTTAAATAATTATTCCTACGCAGATTAATCATATATAGCTAATTTACATTCCAAGGGCTGGTACACTTCCGTCAGGAGTTGAAAAAGGCATGGGCGAAGTTTCATTTCCTGTATACACTGGCTGACTCTAGCTTCTTTGCTATAAGGAAATAAATACTATACTGTATATTGTTTTTTAAATGCTTACCTTTGAAGGTTAATATGAATTTATGTTCTAAAATATGTTTGATAAAACTATCTATGTATACTTCCTTAATTTTGGAGATTTCGTAAGTGGCACGATACTAGACCATGCGGGTGAAGTTTGATTTCCTGTATACGCTGACTGACTCTTGAGAGCTAAGGCTATACCGTATTGCGTTAACGGTTCGTTCTCATGCTGCTATTTATCGTGTACGATTCGTAGTCTGGCGTATGAAAATTACTGTTGACACCACAATTTCTGCCCATTTAATTTATGGCGAAATTCGAAATGCAACCACTTTACGCGTATTTATTTGATTTCATACGCTAGAATATGAATCGTTACGCGACAGATCGCATAAAATATATGCTTCAATTGAGATTAACTAAGATGGCTTAAGAGTTAAGAATTACTATTAAGGACAAAGGACTGATTAATTACTAAAACTATGAATAAATGAATCGGCGAACTTTATCTACAGTATACTATGTATTCTAATTCCAAATGACGCTCTATTTTATGATATTATACTAAAGCTACCGATGCTTTCTTTCGCCCAAAAAGTTTCGTGTTTACGTGCATAAAAACATCCAGATTCCAGGAATGCACTATATTTCTGAAATGGACATCTTAGGAATGGTGACTTCTGATTGGTCCGCAAGAAGTCCCACTGAGATAATAGTTGGGCAAATTAGCAGTAATATATAGGCGTGGGAAAGTATAGTCACTGACATAAAATCATGACGCCTTTTTTCATGACGTAAAATCATGACGTCTTCAAAGAAGGAGGAAGCTATATACGAAGAAAAGAGCGCTAATAATAGATAACAATGGAAAAGTTGGAAGCCCCAATCTGAACATCGATTTTAGTCGGTCCAATTCATGAATTAAAGTATCCTTTGATAAATAAAACTGAATTTATCGAAGAATGATGCATTTGATGCAGCGTTAAAGTAGTAGAGGTCGTATATACTCTTCAATTGATCCGCGGAAGTAAGCTATACCTATAGATTTTAACTCCATTCTATTTATGTTACAGAAAGCTTGTTTAACCCAGAAATACATCATTCTGCTTCTAAGTTCTTTCTGCTTCTTTGTACTGTTTAATTTCGATGTAAATATAATATAATTGCTTTGTTGTTGTGGTCCGGGCCTTATAGACGGAAGGCTTGCCAAATGAATATATAAATGTGGTGTTTTCCTCAAAGCAAAATAATTATTCTAACAGTATGTTCATACTGACTCTTTGGGAAAATATTTTGAGTATACGGAACTATATAATACATTGTCTTAATAATAATATTTTTTATCAACGTTTCTATCCCGCCGTCTGTATCAACTATTCTATCCCGCCGTCTTTGTCACTCCTGTAGCTACCGAGATAACCTCACAATACCGATATAACCTAGTTAGGTTTCTCTAAGACACTATAAACATGTTCCTGTGGCTCTTCCGTTACTCTGTCGTAAATGTTCTCATTTGAAGTACCATCCTCCAGTGAGAAGTAATATGGTTCTTCATTGGATTGATCGGTATATCCCAAATTATCCTTACTATTCACTGTTGGTCCCGGAGATTGGTTGAAATCAATTTCTTGATAAATATTTGAAGATGGATTGGTATGTGAGGACTCCGGCGATGTATGGTCAGCGGGGTTTCGATTTGTTTCGGAATTTGTCGGAATAGCATCGTTATATGTCGTGTAGTCGTCGTCTTCGAACTCGTAATAGTTCGGAAAGTTTTGATCACGAGGTAAGTTTGTGTTTTCGTAAACAGTATCGTTAATAGGTGTTGTATTTATTTGACTACCCGGCACGGCGTAGGATGGTGGAGAACCTTGGGGTACTTTTGTCAGAGCTGCATGATGTGGTAGAGTGTTTTCTAGAGAATACAGAGAGTATGTTATGGTATAAAGACCTTTCTTTTAGTTAATATAATCACTCTTCTCCAAGGACAAGCTTCACAAGTATAACAAAGGCACTGCTTACCGTCGTAAAAGTCTTTATCAATATTCGTTGACTTAGATCTGTATAAAAAGTGGAAAAAAGCTTGCATTAATCTATAGGAATTGCGATTAAACGGCAATTTATAAGAATATATCTTTTAACACGCGCCTAATCTATTCACGATTCGGTGATCGGAATGTTGTATTGTCGTTTCATTGTTTTGAACAGTTTTGAAACTCCCACTGATCTCCATGCCATCCAATCATGCATTGTTTTGACTAAGTTTATTTATTTTGTCGTTAATTTAATTTTAAACTAACGGCGGCTTTTGTCTGGGCAGACATTCCCGGTCAATATTTCGGTGGCCGCATTTTAATAAAATACTAATCAGTTGCAACTGAAAACTTTTACTTGAATATACTTAAATTACAAACCCTTCATTTTCTGAGTTTAGGGCTTTTCACGTGGAGCCGGGCTGGCCTGGTTAACTGGGATGATTCGTTTAATAAAGTTCTTATCATGGCTTTGATAAACATCCAAAATGACATTTCAAAGTTGAATTAGCTTAGTTTGATTCTAGTAACCGTATAAAGTATATTCAAACTATCTTTTATGCGGTCAGAAAAAAAATTCTCGTGACACGATTCATCCCTGCACCTTAAATGTACATATAGGAAACGAATTGACATGCATTACCTTTGTCGTCTGTAGTATAAGAAAACTCCACAGAGCACAGCTAGCAAGACACAAAAAAGAAAAACTGGAACCAGAATTGGTACCAGGCTACTTGAATCATTCTCATCACCCTCACGTTCGCCGTTTTCTGGATCTGCCGGAATTGATGTGGACGATATGGGTAATTTTGGGTCCTTTGTGGTAACCGGGGATATATTTGTAGTAGGACCTTCGGTTTGTGATTTTACGGGCATTTCTGATACTTGACTCGTGGATGGTAAGGTTGATGACGTCAAAAATGAAGTAGATGAGGGCATTTGTGATGTCGAAGATGATGAAATTGTGGTGGGTGAATTGGTAGGGAAATCTGGAAATGTTGTTACCCCAGTCGGTGTGGTTAAAACTGTAGTTTCGGTGATCTATATATAGTATAATTACGTAATTAAATATTTTACTTGGTCTTCCTCAGGTCCAGATCATTTATACATAGTTAAACAGTAAAAAATGTATCGACGAACAAACATCTTTACATACTGACGGACGGGCACAAAAACACAAAAAGACAAGTAAATGAAAAACAGTCAGAAGAGGTAAAAATCTAAATTCCTGAATACCTTCTTCGAGGAGGTAAATTTAATACTAACGTTTATTTGTCCTTCAATTTTGAGTAGTAAACATTTTTCTTTACGTTTATTACCACTTATAAAACATTCAATTTGTATCTTGAGCAACATTCCTGAAAACGTCGAGAGAAGCTCACCAGGATTGTTGATCTGTGGAGAAAAATTTGGACTTCATTAATCTTTAGTAATTTCTCGTATGAGAAAGTGTTCTACAATTAGAAACTAATTACTTTTTCTAGTCTATATATTTTCAGCAAAATACGCAATGCATAGAAACAAAGGTATAACTAAGTTAGTATTACAACTCTCCATATTAGTATAGGTAATCATGCGATGGCGAGTACAATTATAGGGATTAATAGCACGAGTGATGTTTGGAAATTTTGCGAAAATTGGACGAGCCGCCGTCCCTAATTGTACGAGCAACATCGCATGATTACTTGTTTATTATTAGCACATGACATAATTGGATACTTCAAGATCATATTCTCTCGCCAAAGCCCAGACATTCAACCAAAATTTGGTACTTTTGTTTGTATATTCATTTAGTTATTTTGTTAAAGCAAAATTTGGTACTTTTGTTTGTATTTTCATTTAGTTATTTTGTTAAAGCAAAATTTGGTGGTTTTGTTCGTATTTTCATCTAGTTCCTCAAGGGCAATTTCATTTCACATTTGTGTTCAAAATACCTTTCCACCATTTTGTTTGTTTTGGGGAAATCATTAATTGTACTGCAGTACAATTAATGAAATAATTGTACTCCTCTCAACCAATCAGCTTCCAGTAATTTTGTCATGCTAATAATAATACTAGTTGTATATGCAAGTTATGCACCGGATTATGATTTTTCAACATTTCAAATTGGCCCTTTCCCAAATGAGATCACAGTGCATTCTGGGATCGTTTGGCGGAAATATACGGTGACAGGCATAAAATATGTGAAAGAGTAGAAGTGTCTATATCAAATATCAACTTTTTAGACGACCAAAAATGAAATATCTCCTTTTTACATTAAACTTTTAATTTAAATGTGTGCTGCCATATTTCTTGTCCCTCCAACATGGGATTTGCGCGAATAGACATTAGGGAAATGGCTAATTGCCGGCCGTTTATTGGTACAATTTTATTGATACAACAATTACCATGCAATGCGATGGAGATCGAGAGAGAGGTTTGCAATAATAAGTATACGTGCATGTGTTTTCCACAGATCAAAAGTGTATTCCAGCCTTCATTGATTATAATTATATAGTTTTTGATAAATACGTTTGATAAAGTAAACTAATCATGGTCTTTAGCGTTTTTGATAAACACATCACAGTAGCTGAGCTTGATAAAATTGTATTAAAATCACCCATCTAATGGGCCTTTTACTAAATAACTTTCAAAGTTTTCGTCAATTATAACGTTATACGGCAATTTACAGCACCTGTAGTATGTTTCCTTGGTTTTTGCTGTCTTTTTGAATCGTAATACTTCCAGGATTATTTTCTGCAGGTAACAAGTCTTTAGTGTCTCCGTTCATCGTGTAATACGTGCCCTTTCGCTGCCATTTACAATATCTTTCAGGAAAGAAATTGAATTTAAGTATTGCGGGTTTTTTCACAATTTGTATTGAAATGAGATCACCGGGAATGGTTGGATGTTTAAAATAGGAGCAACCTTTGGAAGAAAAAACGTCTTGATGTTATTATATTGTATGTAGGGTGTCCCGATAAAATGCAATAGCTCTGTTTCAGATTTTTACACATTGGGCATCGAAAATTTAATCTGAGATTATTATAAAATTGGTTTAGTGGAACTAATGTTAATGCTGGTTTTCATTTCCAGGCGACACTCGCCGATTTCTATTCTGAGGTTTTCAGCGAGCATTGCATGCAGGCAGGCGATTTTTACTATCGTAGGCCTAGTTAATCGGCGGCGATCTTCACTGTTTTCGTGATGCCGGGAGAGTTTCAAGACTGTAGAGGAACTGGGCAACTCGCGAACAGTGTTTTAATTCGTTTTATTATATCTATACCGCCCACTGCATGTCGCAACAAAACAAATTTGTTCGATTCATCACGACTGTCTGCAACAGATGAATTACGATAGGCGGTTTTCATTTATCCTAAGCCAACTGCGTTGCTCGCCGACGGTCACAGAATCGACATCGCCGAGTGTCGTGCAGCCTTTATGGAACCGTCGAACCTATTGATACTTAACAAAACCACTGCTTCGTCCCCAGGCGCTAATAAAAAAGATTTCATGCGAGTCACCATATGAAAGCTTTATATGAAGTAGTGCATCGCGACGAACAAGGGCTCGTATCCCATCCCCCTTTGCGCGCCTATAATGTGACTCACTACTTCATGTAAAACTTTTATATAGTGACTAGTATGTGAAATCGTTTTATAGCGCCTGGGGACGAGGCAGACAAAACCATAACTGACATTGGTTCTACTAGATTTAACACTGAATCTTAATACCAAAATTTCGTGGTTTAATTTTAAATTTTTGATAATAATTCGAACTATCTTGGCTTGTATGCACCCTTTTGCCAGTTTTGCGTGGCCAGGTGTTTATGTACTATTTAAAACATACACGGCGTAAATTAGATATATAGTCCATATGAATAGTGCATGCGATGATGCCACCATTATTTTAGTCACACCAAATCGCAGGTTGCATGATCGCATGACATAATCTGACTACAAGACATGAATAGGTGCATGCGATGTCACATCTCGACATTTTATTTGAAATATATTTTTTTGCAATGACAGAGTGTTTCAAAGCCATCTTTAGATGGATATGTTACCATGCACATAAGAAAAACGATTGAATATATCTATAGGTTAAATTCGGAATCTTATATTCCTCCATATGTGTATATGATGCCTCGGAAAGAGACGGTGTATACCTGTCTTTCCAAAACAACACTTTATTTCGACATTAATGGCATGATATAATAGTCTACACTCACCGAACTGCCGCCTAAATTCATTATCCTTCACACATTTTCCTGTCGCGTGGTTGTTTTCGTCGTAGCTGTAGGTAAATGTTTCCAAATAAGCACAACTACAATCGCTCCCAGGAACACAATGTTGAGGTACATGTTTAAATATATCGGTAGAAGTAGAAAATGTATCTTCATCGCCACGATAAATGTCTGACGTCGAAGTCGAAAATTGGATTGACATTTGGATTGCAAAGACAACCAAAGAAACTTTGTAAAATTTTGCCATTGCGTTAAACTTGGATTTATATATATACTTTTCTTCAAATATCCTTTCCCGGATCGAAGGAATACCCAGGTCAATGAAAATACCCAACTATTCTAAACCAAGAACAGTAATCTATTAAATTACTGATAAGATAAATTGTCAAGATGGCAAGCAAGTATTCTAAATGACATTGAACATTGAAGACATTATTGATCTAATGACGTCTGTTTCTTTCCGTTGGCGTTTACACCCTTGCCTTTTGTCAGCATTTTACTCAAACTAGAACAAAGATTGTTTATGAAATGAGGCATTAAGCCTATAGGGTGCTTGTGTAGGCGATATTTATAGGCGATAAATTGCTGAAGATATGAAAGAATTTCCGTATTTATGTAGGAAATTAACCGAAGGACTACATATAATACTGGCTTTTAGACTATGATTTTCTGAAAGTTTTAAAGAACCTTCTGTTGTGATAGTAGCTACACTTCATGGCACTCTTCGTCTAGTTTTATAATTTTACTATATTTTTGTTGATTTTATGCATGATATAAACTGGATACAGTTTTATAGATCTAATTATAATAGATCTTTTGTTGTCCGGCTATTTTAATACTGAGTAAATTGGTAGACAGTCATTAATCAAGGTCGTTCAACAGTCATTATATACTGTATAAAGAGAGTATAAGGTATGCGAATCACGCTGTTTGGAAAAAGATTCACTGATTAAGTAACTTTGCAATAGGCTTTTAGTTTACACGTGCAGGGGACGATGGGAAGTAAGGTATCACATTGCTGATTATGCTGAAAAAATAGAAATGGTGACCGTGTAAATACGGAGTGATAGCTTATACTTGTAAATATTGAAATATTTCGGTTGTTTCGGTAGTTTTTATTGAAAATTTTCAGCATAATCAGCACTATGATACCTTGCTTGCCATCCCCTGCAGGCATAAACTAAAAGCTGGAATTGCCCATAGCTCTGTTTCAGATTTTTACAAAGCTAGTTATTAGTAGACATCGCAAATTCATGCAATCTAAGAGACACATTTTTAGACTGTTAAGATTGTCAACAAAACAGTGGATGCTTCTCTCCCGAGAAAACGTGCCTAATTGACGCCCTTTTGCACTTGCAATTTTTGCTTCGATTTCTAGTGCGATTTTCTTCTTCTGATGCATGTGAACGAGTAGAATAGTTTTGAATGTTCTGAGTGTATGTACCTTCATCTGAACATTCATAACTCATCCACTCGTTTACATCCATCATGAGAAGAAAATCCCACCTAAAATCGCAGCAGAAATTGCAAGTGTAAACGGGCCCTTATTTTTGTGTCAAAAAATTCAGCAATGCGACTATACATTCCTACGCCTATATTACTGCTAAATTTCTTCTGACTCCAGTGGCGTAGCCAGCCCGACGATTCAGTCCCGCTATCCAAATATTGTGTTTATAAACTCATAGCGGGATCAAATCGTCGGGCTGGCTACGCTACTGTCTGACTCTGGTGCATCACTGCATGCGCCCTGATATTTCCCACAACTTCACCTGTATGTCACATGCATGCGAGAGCAATGCTTTCAGTTTCACTGTATCAAACAAAAACCATGCCAGTGTTACATAGTTGCTCAGGAAACATCACAGTATATTTGGTAACTGTGAAAACATCGCACAATATTATTCTTTGTCTTGGATAATGAAGGGCTGTAGTAAGTTCTTTGTTGTTTGGCATGGCGATAGTATAATACAAGTTTCAGTTTGTCCAGGAAACGCAACGTATATTTACTATTGCAAAGCTTTCGATCCCTAAGCCCGAATCTTCATTACCACTGATGAAGATCCAGGAGGCTTATACGGAATGAAAGCTTTGCAATAATAAACAGTATGCGTACAATAGGATGGTTTGTTTACTCAGCATGTTTGGTTGCTAAGCAACGAAGATACAAAACAAAACCCTTAAATTATCCTTAAAAATTTAAGGATAATTTAAGAATAAATTACTAGTTACGAAAAATCCCCGTTGAGAAGGTTTTTTGAATTTCAAGTTTAATGACTTAAGTGTAATGGGCACTTTCTTTGAAGGTGGCATATTAGGTTTTTTTAAACAAAGGCTTGAAGGTATTGTCATGAAGGTAGCGTGCCAGATCTTTTTGGATCAACGACTTCAATTAATCCCAGTGACAGGAAATTTTTAGGAAGTTGCATACTGGGTCTTTTTGTATAGGATTAATATTTATAGAAAATAATCGATGAAGGTAGAGAGTTTCAAGGTGGTTTTTTTTTATTTCAATTTTTTGTTGATTGGCATCAACCAGTCATAGGGAATTTTGTATCTGGTAGTGTTTTAATAGCTCTTGTCGAGTTCAACGACCAAACTAATCAAAAGACCCTTTGAAAACCAGGCCACTGAAACGCCAACGTGTGTCTAAATAAGTTTAAATAATAACAATACGATAGATACAAACATACAAAAGGAAATAGGGTAATTTCAATGAAAGTAGCGTTTCAGGGATTTTTGAACTAATCGTAAGACAGTTACTATGAAAGTGGTGTTTCAAGATATTTTCGAATTCAGTGACTTCAAGTAATCATAGCCATCCAGTTTCTATGAAAGCAGCGTTCATAGTCTTTGAATTCAGTAACTTCAACTGATCACTATATATGCATGCATTAATAAAGTTAATCGAATACGGTGTTTTGATTAGGTTTCACATCTAATTATTTTCAAGAACATGATACATGTGTGGTGTATTCTTGCTATTATTCAGCTCCGATGCATGTTGGAGCATTTTATTCTCTCCTGCCAAATCTCCGTCTTTTCCGACGCATGTCCGCTGCCCGATTCTCGGGCGATCCTCTGGTAAAGCATAGTCGTATGTTAATTTCGGTGGCGGCTGCGCCTCGATTTCATGACCAGCGTTCGCATACTGGTAGACAGGCTCCGGCTCCGTTGCTTCGTATAGTTGGCAGTCATTTTGCGCTGAATGACTGGAATGGTATATAGGATTGTTCGAATCACCAGACTTTTGTCCAGGGGAAGCATGCCTTGTTTCATCTGCAGTTAAGAAAAGGTTGAAATTAAAATGATTGATTTGAAGTTAAGAGTATAGGACGGTGATTTTTTAGAGAACAAAACTGTTAAACGAAGAACAAAAGAAAATGTCTTTACCAGGTTTTTCTGACCCCCTTCGGATCAATTTGGCCAATCTATGAAAAATAAAAAATATTGTAAGTCAAAATGAAACAAGACCTTGTATTATGTTTGTGTGATGTTACTCTGAGTGTATATCCACACTGGGCAGGCTTAAAAAATATGCCTGGCCACGGCGGGATTCGAACCTACGACCTTTGGAATACTAGCCCAATGCTCTTCCAACTGAGCTACGCGGTCAGGACGGTTCGAGTATACGATATTTCGGAACTGAGTCTAGTTCCTTCGATATCAGTGTAATCTAATAATCATGAAATCTGCTGTGTTGGTCACACAAACATCTTATTCACCTGAGTACATTGCACCAACACAGCAGATTTCAAGACCTTGTATTGCTTGAACATTTACACGGCTTGGCAGGTCATCCAATAATGGGGAAAATAACCAATTTTCTTTTCTCAACAAATTGATTATCTAGATACCTGCGGCTCTGCGATTCCGGTGCAGCGCTCTAACCAACTGAGCTACAGAGTCCAGTTGTCGAGCTCTAACCATACCAGTGCAGTCGAGTGAGATGTCTAAAAATTCGGTTATTTTTTTTACCTGTTTTTGTTTCTGTATGCAAGGAATACGACAATTCCGATAACAAAAGTAATTATCAGGACACAAACAATAACGACAGTCGTTTGAGTTTTATCTATTTCGTTCTCAGATTGCTCCGATTTGTGAAATCCTGTAGGGGACGAAAGAAAAATAGACCGCTTATTAATTAACGTAAAGTGACAGGTGGTTAATAATTTCCTCTTTATTGTATAGGGATTTATTAGATAGGATGGGGGCTATTTTGAGTTAGGTTTGGTGGAAGATTTATAGATTGCTGGTATAGGATTATTGATCACAATGTCTAACAATCCCAAACCCATGGGTGTTCGGGTACTCCGGTTTCCTATACCACATGGAATGTTGACAAAGATAAGCCCCCAGCTGAATCTTTCACCATTATAGCTGTTCCATGATCAGACATGAGTTATAAGGTGCTGCCCTTAGAAAGCTTTCAACTCGATCGGGTTCAGGCGCGTCCCTCGCAATTCAGTTTGGCTCTCTGCTGCATGTAAGGACGATTAACACATACCCACTTATGTACGTACCGGTGAAAAGTCCCTTGTATTTAATTAGAACACAGTGAACTTCTTTATTGTACTGATATTCTCCACTGCCTTTACATTGAAATTGTACTTTAACAATCAGCCCCTTCCAGCTCATCGGAGTTTTGGTCAAGTCCCACTTGAAAAGAGAGCAGAATGTTATTATGTGTTTTTGAGAATCGCAACAAAAGCAAGACAGCTATAGCTTATTGCATTTAGATTACTACCAATGCTGAACTCCTAGGAATACGTCGGAGATATCACTGTAAATCTGTCAGTAAATCTGTAGTACCTTCAACGAAGTTTTGTTTTCGTTCGTCACTACATCAAAACTTTCTGTTTCTACTAACAATCGTTGCCATCCATCTTTGTGCAGATATTGTGTTTGATCTGGCAAGAGTGAGCATTCTGTGACTTCTCTGCCAATATTGACTTCTTTTTCTCCCCAACATTCAGACTTTTCATGACATTTTACGGTTTGATTTAGAACAACAAGAGATGAGCCATCTTGGAAAGTCTCGCAACCCACCGCTGAAACAGTATAAAAATTGATCATTGATTATTTATGCCCATATACAAAAATAAGGTGAGCTCGTTGGTTTCATTAAATCAAATTTTTGCGCCTAATGACTATTTTTGCGTTAATCGACATTTTAATATGTGGAAAAGGCCTCCCTAGCAAGCAAAGGAAAAAGTAAACTACATGCAGCTTTACCTTCAGAACATAAAGTTTGATTTGAACCACGACGTTTCCACTTGAGAGCTGTATTTCTGTTCACATGACTCGATACATAGTTTCCATGATCTCCGTGGTGCAAATATCCTTTCGAGTGCTCCTGCCAAACATAGTATGGATCATTTCGATCACATTTCCATACTTGTCTCTTCATTCGAGTTGCATTGCTCAAGTAATAAGATGTAGTAGTTCCTAATTTTCCATCCCACAGTGATGCATTTTAGCTTGTCCAAGTTGAAAAGTTGTTCGTTTTTAGTCCATAGCCATCGTTGAGATATTGCATTAATGTCGCATGCGAGGTTCGCTTGGACATATGTATATCTGCAAGCCAGTAAGAAAACAAAGCAATGCACACTCTGTATTGTTGACATTCAAATTGTCTGTACGTTTCGACCATGTATTTACAGTCATTGAGATATGATAACTTCTGGTTAAGCTTCTTAGCAATTGCCGAATAAACCTTTCCCCTTATGAGTGAAATTTTGATCTAGATATGCCTGGAGAAAAAAATAACAAAATTAGTAATATTCTGAAGTTTCGTTGAGAAATGTTGTAAAATGCGGATAATATAGCCTTGCGAAGTTTGCCGTTTTTCAGTCATTTTGCATTACAAACGGGAAATTGATAATCAGATGATCAAACTGATTATCAATTTCCCATTTGTAATACAAAATGACTGAAAAACGGCAAACTTCGCAAGGCTATGTTATCCGCATTTTACAACATTTCGCAACGAAACTTCGGAATATTACTAATTTTGTGATGCTCTTTCAAGGTGTGCTGAAATTTTTGTCCAGACTTGTCTAGATCAAAATTTCACTCAAAAGGGGAAAGGCTGTCTATCAAGGCTGCACCGAAAATGCAGGCCTTGTTATAGGGGGTCTTCAGTTTGCTTAAGGGCTGCATTCCAGTTAAACACTTTTCCTCCGTATTTATTTCAATGGAGAAGTTTAATAAACAGTTATTGGATGAGGTTTTTTGTGATCTCCAGAATTATCAAGGTCGAGGTAAGTGTTATCAGTCGAGACGAAGACAAGAATGATAACAGAAAAGTTAAGCCGATTTTCCAGTTGCGAATTTTTTCGCGCGAAGCGAATTTTCATTTGTCTTTGCCTTTGGTCTCTCAACTGAAACCATCCGGAATTAGTATAAACCTACTAGTAGGCTATCACATATCGTGGCTTCTGATTGGCTACGCTACTAGTAGGCTATTAGTGATAGCCTACTAATAGAAAATTCAAAATGGCGGAAAATTCGCATTTTGCACTTTTGCCGAAGTGTCTGATGATTTTTTTGGACGACTTGTTGAACAATTCTGTACTAAAAAAACGAAAAAGCAACAAAAATATGGAATTCGAATTTTTAAGGGTAAGAAAATAGACAAAATAACATACACTCAATGAAATTTTAAAATTAAAACTGAATTTTGTAAAACATTTTACGCGAACAAAAACTAAAATATTTGTTTACCTTTAATGGTTTTATAATGTTTTTTATTTTTGCCTAAATCGAAGCTCGGGGCTCGTTTTCCTACTATCGCCGGACTAGTGGCACAAGCTACGGGGTTATGGGCGTTTGGCATGCCAGGGGCTGAAATTCAATAGCTTTGTTTTATTATACAATGTATTTTCATTAACTAACTCTTTCGAGAAACAATGATTTCGCACACAAAGCAACGTTCGATTCTCAAAAAAAGCAGTGAAAACGATAAAATATCACAATATCAGCTTAAAAATATTAGAAATTTCATTTACGTAGTGAAGTTACGATGAAAGTATTAAAAAGGTCTGCTTTTGGCACAAAACACATTCACTCGTTAAAGGTGCCCTACAGTCCGTATGTAAACAAAGCCTTTGTTTACATTTTTGTGTCCAAAATATTGAGCTTTATTCGACAACTATTTATATTTTCAAGCTTCTGGAGTATAATAAATGATCAAGAAACAACAATCAGGCTTTGCAAGAACCCAAAACATAGTTAAACTGTTTGTATCATAAAAAGTGGGCTCCTTTGTGCACATGCGCAAATTGGACTGTAGAGCACCTTTTTCTTGCTTTTATTCATGTATTTAAAACTGCCCGCTTGCTATAAAATTGCATACCCCGGGCCTTCAACCTATAAATAACCCGGTTGCGTGATTTCTATTTTTAGCTGTATGCTACTGGCCAATTAGCCAATTAGAACACAGGAGGCCCAGGCTCTATTTGCCTGCGCCCGCCTGTGCCTTCCTTATAACGAGGGAAGTATCGTTATAAGCATAGATATAGGAGATCTAGATTGCTAACGCATACCTAGCGCAGGCGGGGCCTACATGATAAATCCAAGATGGCGGTACAAGAGGGCAAAAAGACTATAGATTCTATTACGAAAATCAAGATTTTTGCATTTTTTGCCGTCGCATTGTTTTGAAACTTATTCGGTCAAATTTTATGGCAAAGAGAAACTTACCGCGAAGATTTTGAGCATATATATGATTGAATTGGATGAAAACTCGCAAAATTATCCAGCGATAAAAGTTCGTGTGAAATGGTCAGTTGGTCAGTTGGATCGTTTTATTGCCAGAAATACTGTGCTATGTTAACATTTAGTCTTGTGAATGGTGTTTTATACTTGCATCTTTCATCATCATCTGCTCTGTCCTCATAATTATGAAAAATGAACTGTTATGTACCCCCCCCCCCTCCTTGCTTGTTAGAGAAGTAAACTGATGAGAGCACTGGATAAGGGTCTATCACCTATGGTCTGTTATAATTTGCTTTCCATGCAAATAGTGAGCAAAAATTAAAGCAAAACTGTACAAGTTACATATATAGTACTATATCAGTACTATACACGAACTTTTATCGCTGGATAATTTTGCGAGTTTTCATCCAATTCAATCATAAATATGCTCAAAATCTTCGCGGTAAGTTTCTCTTTACCATAAAATTTGACCGAATAAGTTTCAAAACAATGCGACGGCAAAAATGCAAAAATCTTGATTTTCGTAATAGAATCTATAGTCTTTTTGCCCTCTTGTACCGCCATCTTGGATTTATCATGTAGGCCCCGCCTGCGCTAGGTATGCGTTAGCAATCTAGATCTCCTATATCTATGGTTATAAGGAAGGCACAGGCGGACGCGGGCAAATAGAGCCTGGGCCTCCTGTAATTAGAAGACACGTAGTGATTACAATGTATAATAGGATAATAAAATAACTAAATGAACGATTTGTTGAGGAAATTATGGTAAAGTTTAATAAATACATAAAAGTTAGAAACATTTAACCTTTTCCGTGCGTGTACGTACGTATATTAAAACGCTTAACTGCATAGAATTCAGCCTTAAATCATTCATATATTATGTATAACTTTACAAACCTGTAACGAGCTGCCTTGTAATCAAACAAGCACGATTCCTTCGTGGTATCTTGTGCGAGGAATGATGAATTATATGCTAGATTGAGGAAGGACAATATTTGAACTCATGTTGAAACGTGCTAAAAGTATCCGTGGGCGTTAGTCTTTATTTCAAGAGGGTAGTACGTAATAGTACAAAAGTACTAATAAACTTGTAGCCCTCAATTTCAATAATACAACAATTTCTAAAATACGAGTACACAAATTAAACTATCAATACAGTATATATCTATATTTACAAATTTACTTTACTAAATTATGGTTCGGTATATATCAATACAATTACAAATGGCTAAGAGATTGTTGGTGTGCATCTAAAATTTCTACATATTTATTCTTAAAAATACGGACGTTCAAATGCCGTCTTAAGTTTAGTGGTAGACTGTTCCAAAGTTTCATTGTAGTTACACTAAAAGTTCTACCACCTTCAGTTTCCCTTTTGTAGAAAAAAGATAATATTATATTATCTTATGTTATTATATTATTTTATTTTTGCGTTATTTGAGAATATATTAATGTAAGCATCTATTGCTTGTCTCTTGTGTCCTGCATATATTCCACGGGCGCTTTCTTCGGCGAAATGCGAAATATTTCGCGCGAAATGAACTAGGTGCGTGCGCAGTAAAGATAAATTATGCTTCGCGAGAAAAAATTTCGGTTCACCAGTGAGTATAGAAGTCAGTTCTACTCATTGCGAAAGCGGAAAAAGTGGGAAAATTCAATGGAATCGCTCATGTGCAACTATCCGTATTTCGCAGGCACAATTTCTTGCGAAGAATGTCGTGGAATCAGGCCTTAATACAACTCAGTCGACTTCATTGTTTCAGTGATATATCGGCACTCTTACATCGGCTATCTTGACACGGTTACTTACGTCAGCCGCGATTAAATCATGCTGAATGAAGACACTTTCTTGAATTTACACACAATTGAAATAAATTGCTGTCTATATTCTTTGAACAATATAAACAAGACAGTCATCACTTTTTCCGGTTTTAATTAAACAATCAGATAGGAAAAATACATCGTCACTATACTGTATTGCCTCATGTTATCTATAGATATGGTCGGGAGAACCACGACCGTGTAGAAACAAGACATAATATTGATGTTTGTTTGGGCTAACCAATATCCAACACAATTCACATCCAAAGATGATGCATTTTCTGACCTCTCAAATCACTTACATGTTACATAGGCCAAGTACTCATTTAGTACACACTCCCCATAACTGCCTCTTGTTCGTACGAAGGTCTCATCCTCCCCTTGACATTGGCAATATGTACAGTTCTTGTCGAAACAAACAGCTTTTGTAAAATGACAGTCAAATTGATTTGTGAATACATCTTTTTCTCCTCTTATTATACTTATATTTTTGCTGTTCACTTGGTAGATTGTTGACATGATCAGGATGAAGTGAACAGTCGCTCGTGAGAATGATAGAGACATTGTGTATATATCTCTTAATGCTTTCAGTTGAAAGTTGAAACAAAGTATAATGATCAATCTGAGTGTCGCCTGCGCATGCAATGATATCACGCTGTGTTTATTTGTTAAAAATTAAAACACTCTTCAAAACCTACGCGTTTCTTTGCTAACAAGCGGAAGCAGGACGTTTATGCTTCGGAAGTTGATGAGAGGATTTGCAATGATTAAATTTGCTTAAATTGAGAAAGGATTTTTAAACGAACGTATAGTACTGTATATCTACATCTAAATTTATTAGCCAGGAATAATATCTGATCGGATGAAAGACCAACTTTCAAGTGGTTTAAGGAGCCTAATTATTTAAGCCCTTAACTGGAAAGTAGCCCTAACACGCATGGAAAACTTTAAACCATTTAAAAGTTTTGTATGAAATAATTAAATGAATAAAAGCACAGCATATTTAGTTTTGTGCATGATTTGCTCGGAAAATCAGTACTTTCTAAAATTGTGAAAAACTTTTCCGTGCGTTCATGCAGCCTTTAGAAGTGGTTTCCTATAGGTGGTGTTCAAGTTACGTCAGCGTCGCCATGTTGGATGACATTGACAAAAGATTTTGCTTGTTTGCAATGCAAATATCATCCAACATGGCGAAAATCTCTTTGTAATCACAGGGGAGCTAGTGGTTGCACATCACCTATATGTATAATAATTGAAGGAAGTTAAATAGAATGATAATTTAAATGTTTATTTTAGTTGGACTGTTGTTTTGAACAGAGTTACAGAAATACAGGACCATGCAGGATTTAATTCAATATATCCTGAGAACATTAGTTTCTTGTGATATTGTTAATAATTAGTTTTGTAATATAATGCCAATTTGGCAATATAATGCCTGCAGCCAGAGTTTTGATTGTTTAAAATATTGCACAATGATTGTTTTTATACTGTGTATAAAATGTATATAATAAAATATGTGGTATTTGGCTACTTACCAGATGAGGATAAATTTCCATGTTGATAGATAACTTTGGAATAATATCACAAGTAGAATGGTGAAAACAAGACAGCCAATTCAAGATAAAATCAAGATATTTTTGAAGCCAAAATATGGCAAAGAATAACACGAGTACACGACTTGCACGAGGCCAAACTACGCCCGTTCGCAGGTTAGGTGCGAGCACGATGTAAACAATTGATGTAAGCTAATCCGTGATTGGCTTAATTATATAAGCTCGTCCCTGAATGGCTATGGGTAACGTTAATACTAATCTGCTTCGGAGATACAAAAATAAAGATATACACCGGCACTGTATTAATATATATTCATACCTGCAAGTTTTTTTCATAATAAAAGTGTATTTCCCCAATTTAGATTAGGTGGGTGGGTCATGAAATAAATTTGGTAAGATTGGATGGGCTGTGAAATTTTTATCTACATCCTAAGATGGGTCACCAAACTTATTGGCAAAATTTGTGATTTACCTCCAGCCCACCCTAGCAGTTACTTTATGACCAGTCCCTAATTTCGATTCTCGTGCAACGTAGGTATTATCGTGTATGGGGAGACAAAATATCTCATTTTCTCCTGTGTATTCAACCCTATGTATGGCTGTTATACGTACTATTTAAAACACGCCTAGGAGTGTCTTTAAAATGCGAGTGCGCAACACGAGCATTTTAGGTATGATAAAACACGACTACAAGTGTTTTGAATAGCTTCAAATACGTCACATTAGTATTTCATTAGTATGCCGTCACATTAGTATTTTTTTTGTATAAAGCCGGAATACTGATTATAGGATGGACTTTTATATAAAGAATACTATAATAGTATTCTTTATATAAAAGTCCATCCTATAATCAGTATTCCGGCTTTATACAAAAAATACTAATGTGACGGCATATTTATATATTCATTTAATAATTAAATGAAGATGAATTTTATCAGGTATAAAGCCTCTTCACGTGACATATTATGGTATAGAACTTCGCTTTGTGCTGTCTATATATTTTTCACTCGATATTAAATGTGTGGACAAAACACAAAAAAATCTAAAAGCCTCTTAGCGTAAAGGCACACAGTCACAATTTGACTCAAATCTTGAAATAACTAAAGTCGATAGATTATAAACATGGCGATGAAATATGTGTTCCTGTCGCAGTATTGTTTAACACCATTATATGTACTATTTAAAACTATACTGTATATGTAGCTACTATTAAACACCAATTATATATATCTAAATTTAAATACCACAATATTGAAAATGATTGTTTTCCTGTGGTTAATCTGTTCAGTCCTATATTAAGATTTTTTCGTTACCCATCTAAAACTTGTATTTTATTAATTGCCGCGCCATTTTAATGTCTCCGTTCCTCACCTGGGCTATTAATAATGACCGATCCCTAAGGCATGCAGCATTAAGATAATATAAATACAACTGATATATAAATACAATATTCTTGTAAGCTTTCATACTTTAGTTATTATTTTCAAGCACGTAATATACTGGTAATTCCGGTTCTGATGCATTTTGGGGCACTATGTTCTCTCCTGTCGAATCCTGATGTTTTCCGACGCCTGCCCGCTGACTGATTCTCAGGTGGTCATCTGGGATAGCATAGTCGTATGTGACGTTCGGTGGTAGCTGTGCCTCGATTTCATGACCAGCGTACGCATACTGGTAGACAGGCTCGGGCTTCGGCGTTGCTTCGTATAGCTCGCAGTCGTTTTGCGCTGAATGTCTGTCGCTTGAACGATAGATAGGGTTGTTTGAAACACCATGCGTTTGTCCAGGGGAGGCCTGTTTTGTTACATCTATGGTAAAGGAAAGATAGAAATTAAAAGAAATGAAGTTAAAATTAGGGTGCGTTTATATTTAGATCTAAAAGTGTTGCAGAAATATAATTCTTTACCATGTTTTTTTGTTTTTCTTCCAATTAAGGTGGCCAATCTATTAAAAAATAAAAACTTACCAAAATTTATATGGTGCAAATTTTCTTAATATATATTTGTGGTAGAAGTTCCAGGTATAGAAATAAAAAAATGTGTTCATTGTGTACTAATATACATTTCTCCCTTAATTTACATTTATGAAACATATATTTTGGAAGGTATATATCAGTGTTTCTGAGATAGCATTTAACTTTCAGTGTACAATAAGTTTTTTTCATTAACCGAGATTTCAGTTGATTGTTTAATTGAAGCAACAAAACAAATCTACAATCCGGGTCAAAACTATTTGGACAACTCTCGTCAGCATTGAATGGAATTTTTAATGAAATAAGTGTCGATAATACGCATCGGATATATGTAACATTGAAGAGGGGAGTGGGGGATATGCGTATCTTAAATCATTAATAATTCATGAGTAAATTAGCCAACCATATTGCTTTATTTTGCTCACATTATAGCACTGGATACCTGATGAAGTATATTGATCCAGTGACTGGATCACCTTGAACTGGATCAAAATTAATTCAATCCTTGGACTGGATCAAAATTAATTCATCTCACTTTAAGTAGTGATTTATTCGTATGAAATGTTATTTCAAATCCTCCAATTCGAACTGGACTACATTTCAAGTCCTCGCATTTTGATCCAGTCCTCGGTTTCGCCTCGGACTTGATCAAAGTGCGCGGACTTGAAATCTAGTCCAGTTCCCATAGTCGGAATTGAAATATTTGAGATATTTCTGAAACGTCGATTGAGTGTTCACATGAATTTTGGCCTTGATTATAGTATGCAGATGTATGTATTGTTTGTCTCTATTTCAGCTATACAAGTGGTATGTTCCCCTACCTGTTTTTGTTTCTATATGCAAATAATACGAGCACTCCAATAACAAAAGCAACAACCACGACACTGACAACAATAACTGTAGTTTGAGATTTATCTTTTTCGTCACGTTTGTCATTTCCATCTAATTTGTCCAACCCTGTACGAAACGAATTGAAATGTAGTATTACAGTTGTTGGACTCGTAGTCTGTCGATATATGTTAGTCTGGAAGCCCGGCAAACTTCAAGGCAAAGCCATAATATACTGTACAATACATGCCTTTGTTTGATGTTGAACTGTATACACCTTAACGTGCACAAATCCATTCTCTCAACTTCATGAACTATTATTATTAATCGTGGTTGCACGTTTTACTTGAGCTATCCCTATATTGGGCGATCACTTCATTATACGAAAATACAGTGAGCTCAATCACCGTTGCCGTGCACAAATTAACATAAACGCAAACAAATGTTTAGTTTCCACATCATCATATCTTGATAGATTGCTATATTGGACTATAAGGACATAATTGATTATGTAAGGAATGAAAGTGAAGTATTCATGCATAAATTTTGCACTCAATTAATTATGCATTCAGTCCTTTTAAGCCCAAAAGGGCAAGACAAACGTTTGATGTGATAATGAAATGACTGGACAGAGACATGTACATATAAGCTAATATAAAGAACAACTAAAGAAAAATTATGTAAGGAATGAAAGTGAAGTATTCATGCATAATTGTGTATTCAATTATGCATTCAGTCCTTTTAAGCCCAAAAGGGCAAGACAAACGTTTGATGTGATCATGAAATGACTGAACAGAGACGTGCACATATAAGCTAATATAAAGAACAACTAAGAAAAAAATAACACAAAATAATATTTTATAAGAGTGCAGCCTTCGCCTATATAGCCTCCCTTTCATGATTGTAACTTGAGGTCCGTATCTAGAGATACCTACCGGTGAAAAGTCCCGTGTATTTAATAAGCACACAATGGACATCTCTATTGTCCTGATCTTTTTCATCACTTTTACATTGATATTGTACTTTCACAATCAGTCCTTTCCAACTCATCGGAGTCTTGATCAAATCCCACTTTAAGTACAAAATAGATGATTTTTGCAAGATAAATAATATAATCCAGGTTGGAGAGCCTGTCGTAGGTTTGTCTGAAACCGTTTTAAGGAATTTTTTATTTTTATTTTTAGTTCCAACCAAAACCACGACTGCTTATTTTAGATTCTTACCAATTATTGGACCCCGAGCTATACACCTGTACGTCTGAGATAAAACATATAGCGTACCTTTAACAACACTTTATTTTCGCTTGTCACTATA